TAGTTATAGACAACCAAAAACTTGTTTTTTGAATTTGCTATCAATTTGGCTGGAAAAAAGTTTTTGTATATTTAAAAAGTCGATACGAAATATGGTATGTATTTTCCGTATAAGATATAGTTTACATGCAATTATGAGATTCACTTTTTTTCTCGGAGCCCGTAATCATTAGTATTGACCCAATTATAATGACCTCAAAAATATCTTACACTGGATTTCTAAGTTAACAAACAAATTATATAACGTGTTGTTAGGCTTTTTGTTTTACACAAATCAGACAATGATTTGCTTTTTGTTTGCATTTCATACACTTATAGTCCATTTATAGGGTGCACTAGTTTACAATTAATATTTTATGTAATTAACGCAAAATTAAACTATTTTTATATACTATTAAAATATTATATTAAAAAGTTTGAAGTTTAATGTATACGAAACTTATTTATTTTATCCATAATTTATATCAAACGTGTAGTGCGTTTACCGCTTCATTATAACAAGTTTTCAATACTGTTATGAAATATCAATATAAAACTTTTCTATTAATTAAAAAGTTTATTAATTTTCTATGCAAATAAAAGTTATTTCAATATTTTCCGTATTTATTTGAAACGCTTTATAAATATTTATAAAAGTGCTTGAAATCTCAATTCAAGTGTTTATTCATAAATAATTCATAAGTACCGGTACATTTGAAATACATTTCGATTTCATATACTTTCCGTAAATTTGAAAAATGCAAAACTTAAAGTTAATACAATATTTAAAGTAGAAAATTTATTTTTAAAAACAATTTACACCTCCTTTAAGATAAATACAATACAAATCACAATCCCATTGATGATAAACGCGAATAATATTCATTAATATACTAATAATATTTCAAATAACATTAAATTAATACAAAACCAAAAACACTAATTACTAAAACTACGAATCATGAAAAAAATAATTACAACAAAGAAACTTAATTAAAACCCATAATTAGCTCTACCTATCAATAATTATATTTACTCAACACCTGTTGACTCTGATCGGGTAAATACTCCTTAAAGGGCGCCAACGGCTCGAACACATCCCTGTCCTCCTCGGCGACCATCATATTCTTGAGCGACTCGACAAACACCCGAACGTAGCCCTCCATAGCCTCCTCCCGGGACGTGTCGCCCAACCGGCTCCACGCCTCCCACTTGTATTTGCCGACCAAATCATAAAAGGCCGGCTTTTTCGTGGTGTTGGGCCCATCGGTCGCCTGTTTATAGTAGGCGTAGAACTGTAGGCGCAGCTCATCCGTGGGCTTATAGTGGCCCGACTTGGGTAGGGCTCGGATCACGCGGACGGCCGCCTCGAACCTCTGCTCTGCACTTGTGGTCATCCTATTTGTCGGTCCAAAAGGGGACTCAATAATAGTTTTGTGAAGTTTTTGATACTTTTTTGAATACGTTTTGTGAGATATTTGGCACTCGTTTTAAACCGTTTTATACGTAACACTCGATTGGAAATGAATGGCAGAAAGACTTATTGAAGTTTTTTTTGATTGCAATCGCACTTAATATTTTCAACATACACTATATCCCCGTTAGTATGAACCTTGATAACAAATTAGATACACTTATCGTGCGTTTAGTTATCGATGTGAACAGTTTGGACACTAATGTAAAGTTTTTAATTTAAATTAATTTAGTTTAGTGTACACTATATATGGGATTAAATATGCAAAATATTTTCGGCGTTTACTATAGAGATATCAGACACAGTGTATGTCTACTGCAAAAATGCCGTTCCCTTCGCTACCCATCCCTACCTGTCATAACATAAACGCTATTTTGTAGAAAGCATTGGAAATACATGTGAAGGCATTTAATGTGAGGTCACATCTTGAGGTCAGTTATGATTTGCAGCGATAAGTGCGAGGCTTTCGAAGTCTATTGGAGGGAACAGTAGGCACTCATTCACTCCACAGGGGGACCGGTATTGTGAACCATATATTTTGTTTAAAAAAAAGACAATACACTATTATAAAAGGAACCTGACGTTTCTACAAAGATGTTTATAATAGTTGATTTGTTAAGTCTATAGTTTAGATACCCCCGCATACCTTTCCCCTGACCATAATCGGCACTAAATACGATTAAAAATCACACTCAAAGATACTCTACAATTTTGAAAATCATTTGAAAATTATTTTAAAATTGATAAAACCTCTAATGAATCATTAACAAGAGCATTGCTTACCGGTGCACGAGTCTGAGCACAGGTATGCAAAATACTATCGAGTATTGAGAATGTTAGGTACAGTAGAAATTAGTTCAATATCAAAACTTATGTCAACTAATAGACAAATAAATATATGACTTCCCATATGATAAAATTAATAATACTTAATAGTTCTGTATAATTAGTCAAATAAAAATTAAATCTAGAATATTATATCATTGACAGTTACTGTATTAATAGCGATTAATGTTATCAAATAAGTCTAATGTTAAGTTTAGTATATAAAAACTATTATTTTGAATAACTTCAGAAAAAACTATACAACTAGGAATTATAATTTCTTAAACTATTTTAATTATTCAGCTAAAAACATATCATAAAATTATACCTTGATAGTATAAGCCCCGATAAATAGCCCGTAAATCGGTACAAAATTAAATAAGCAATCAGTGAATGCCATGACCAGTAAAAGTGTGAACACGTACTTCAAAAATTTTACCCAAAATGTGTACGTCATTGATGAGCGACTCGCGTGAACGTGAGTTTCATCATTGCATTGAAATGAGTGTAAAATACAGTGTGTTTTGCATTCAATTGAATGGCATTTTCGCTGCGAAAACCAAGTGTTTGTTTGTTTTGTGACTGACTTTTGAATTTGTGGACAACATTACAAAACCCAACGATTATTTGCCGCACGTTTTGCTCAAACAATTAGCGATTACCACCACCTCATTTACTGCCCACTGGACTCTTAGGCCAGGTATGTATGCCCGTAATTAACCTGGTTCACCTGGTTCATTATGGTAATCACGCGCTGTCAATGTGTGCTCAATTGTGTCCGGTGTTTGTGTCCATTCATTCAGTAATCAATAGTTTAATGAGTAATATATAAATTGTATGACAAGTGGGTGTTAGCCAGGCTATTTAGTTACGCGTTTATGTGGCGATTAACACCCTGGTCATAATGAATGCAAAAACACCAGCAAAACCCTATTTGTAACCAAAATCGCGACACAAATCGCCACCAAAACTGACCACACATTCAGAGCACGTGTTTATCACGTGATTAACGGTCACAGAGACCGACCACTCATACATAAACCACTCATTTATCTCCCGTTCCCATCACAGGACCGGCAGTTGTCTCGACGTCTCGCTATAGACAGCCCACTCATTCACACTCGCAGTCATAGAGGAACGGTAGCCGTGGGGCTGACCCGCTATTGGCCAGGGAGATGACGCACATGAGTGAGCGGCATATACTGCGCATCCAGAAGGACATCCGCGAGTTTTACCGGGAGGACAGTCGGGAACTGTACGCCGTGTGCGAGGAGGAGGACATGAGTCAAGTGCACGCACTCATACTCGGCCCCATCGGCACGCCCTACGAAAAGGGCTTCT